TGTGACTATGAGGCTGTAGTGACACGTGTGACTGTGTGAGGCTGTAGTGACACACGTGTGACTGAGGCTGTAGTGACACATATGTGAGTGTGTGAGGCTGTAGTGACACATGTGACTGTGTGAGGCTGTAGTGACACGTGTGGCTGTGTGAGGCTGTAGTGACACGTGTGACTTTGTGAGGCTGTAGTGACACGTGTGACTGTGTGAGGCTGTAGTGACACGTGTGACTGTGTGAGGCTGTATTGACACGTGTGACTGTGTGAGGCTGTAGTGACACATATGTGACTATGTTAGGCTGTAGTGACATGTGTGACTGAGGCTGTAGTGACACATATGTGACTATGTGAGGATGTAGTGAGACACGTGTGACACGTGTGAGGCTGTAGTGACACGTGTGACTGTGTGAGGATGTAGTGACACATATGTGACTATGTGAGGCTGTATTGAGACACGTGTGACACGTGTGAGGCTGTAGTGACATGTGTGACTGTGGGAGGCTGTAGTGAGACACGTGTGACACGTGTGAGGCTGTAGTGACATGTGTGACTGTGGGAGGCTGTAGTGACACATGTGACTGTGTGAGGAAGTAATGACACGTGTGAGGCTGTAGTGACACATTTGTGACTGTGTGAGGCTTTAGTGACACGTGTGACTGTGTGAGGCTGTATAGTGACACATATGTGACTGTGAAGCTGTAGTGACCCGTGTGACTGTGTGAGGCTGTAGTGACACACGTGTGACTGTGAAGCTGTAGTGACACATATGTGACTGTGAAGCTGTAGTGACACATGTGACTGTGTTAGGCTGTAGTGACACATATGTGACCGTGTGAGGCTGTAGTGACACATGTGTGATTGTGTGAGGCTGTAGTGAGACACGTGTGACTGTGTGCGGCTGTAGTGACACATATGTGACTGTGAAGCTGTAGTGACACATATGTGACTGTGTGAGGCTGTAATGACACACGTGTGACTGTGAGGCTGTAGTGACACACGTGTGATTGTGTGAGGCTGTAGTGAGACACGTGTGACTGTGTGAGGCTGCAGTGACACACAAGACGACCGCGTTCATTTAAAAATTTACAGTTGTGAAAAACAGTCACCATATGGGATGTACATGTATGTCTTCTGGATAAGGCATCCGGACTTGATGCTAAACGAAGATATTTCATCCAACATTTCGTGTAATGATAATTTAACATGCTTCTTCTCTTGTAAAAATGGCGTTAGACAGGGAGACAACCTGTCTCCACTTTTGTTTGCCATATTTTAAAATGATTTAGAAGAAGGTCTTCTGTACGACTCATGTAAAGGCGTCCAGTTAGGACGAAATTAGTTCAATGATGGAATTGAAGAATAATCACCATCTTTATTTCTACTGTATACTGATGATGTAGTCCTCATGGCTACAAATATACAGCACTTGCAAACACTGTTAGACTCTTTTAATAAGTATTGTGATAGATGGAAGCTTAAGGTTAATGTTTCGAAATCAAACGTAATGCTATTTGGGAGGATCAACGTGATTACAACCATACTTTCAAAATTAGCCAAGATATTTTGGAAAACGTTGAGACCTATAAATATCTAGGCGTCACCATGCAGACGAATTCTAAATTCACTATTACAAAACAAAATCTTGAAGAGCAAGCAATCAAATCAATGTATTATGTTTTGGCGCAATGACGTAAATTTAATTTGTCAGTTGGTTGCCAACTGCGCCTAGTATGGTCTAACCAATTCTTCTATACGGATGTGAAGTGTGGGGGTTCGACACTGTATCGAATAAGGAACGTGTCCAGCTACGTTTTCTTAAACATTTACCATCACTTTGGACTAGTACTCCAAAATATATGGTTTATGGCGAACTTCTGTAATACATGTAGTTAAGATCAGAATGGTTTCTTTTGGGGTAAAACTCTTATCCGGAAAATCATCAAAATTATCTTTACTCATTTACAAGCTGTTATATAATGATAACCTATTTGAAATACGCAAACATACATGGATAACCTTGGAAAAACAAATCTTTACGATCTTGGGCTAAGTTTCATTTGGCAATCACAAAGTTTTCAAAGTCCAATTCATCTAAAAAATATTGTTGAGAACAAATTAATGACATCAGTTTACAATTCTGGAAAGCCACACGAGATAAATCTTCCAAAGGAGCCATGTATACCATAGTTAAAAATCAATCCCTGATTTTCGAAGATTTTTTAAATATGAAAATACGTATTTTGCGAGACTTATTTAAATCTAGCACCTCCAATCACAATCTCCCAACTGAAACTGGAAGGTGGAAAAAAACCTTTTAACTGAAAGAAAATGTCCATTTTGTAAATCATTTGATTTAGGTGAGGAGTTCCACTATCTATTTTTCTGTCCACTATTTCAAAATGAGAGAAAACATGATTAGAAAATATTATTACATTTCACCAAATATGTATAAAATAAATTTGCTTTTTAAAAGTAAACGATTAGGAACACTTAGAAAGTTATCACACCGCAAACACGAAAACGTCGGTTTTTTTCGTATATGGTTATTGGACGGAAAAACGACTAAAAATTCATTAAAATTGATTAATTTGTTAGCGTCTAGAAAGTGTCCGGAAAAGCGTCGAGTTTTTCAAGCGTAAAATGGACGAAAAAACGATGCTTTTTGCTCCGCCTTGTACAGCTGTTAACGGCCAATCAGATGGCGCTGGTCCCCCGACGCACGTGATGCAGAAGGCTTCCTTTCGGAAGCAATAGGTTTCGTATTTCTGGCATGCCTTGCTCTAGTATCTGTCGCGCGCAGCGAGAATTGCTGATTAGTCAGTTTTAGGATATGTAACATGTTAATGGAATTCAGACACGCGCCAAGAAGTCAAACCAAACCATGTACCAAGTTTATTAAGATAACAATCCCTCCGCTATGCACAGTTACCTCTATCGGATAATGGGTTGTGTTTCATTTGGTTATAACAGTAACTAATTTTGTAATGTGAAGTTTACACGATATACGGCTTTTCCATAGGACGAGAGGTGGGTCACATGACGTTTTTCACGTGACTGTATTCTTGAAATTACGTAAGCGCTGACTACTTCCACATTCCTGGGGAAAACCCTGGGAATTCCATAGTACGTATTCATACAGAAGCGTTGTTTCTCATCATTTAGACCCTTTAATTTTGAACGTAGCGTCTTATCATACTCTGAGTTAAGTCATAGAGTTTGGTTGCATGCCCGTTCAAGGATACCCTCGCTACAACCCATCCTAGAGAAATAAAACCAAAAAATCCAAACTATCGTAGTGACAATCTACAGCAATCTATGAAAATACCTAAGTATCTATTTGACACATCTTTACAATCACCTTTCAATGATCGCTCAATTGATCAGTGATCACAAAGGCTTGAAATCGCCACAGGCTAATTAACAACTTCGGAAATATCTCCCGTCATGTTTATCGTGTCGGCCATTTTGACGTCTTGTACTTGATGTAAATATAATGTATTACGATGCTCTGTCATTGTGATTGACATACTGAGGTAGTTCTTAACAGACCTTCTCATCTAATGAGGATATATTTTGGAATATATTTCTTGTAAACAAACTAAAACAGATGTTCCTCGCTTTTGGGGGAACTATTTTATTCCGGAATGGCCTATTAAAGCTAATAGTAAGTCAAGGCACCATGCGCGTATATGATCTGTTATTATATGTGTTTAACAAATACGGTTTTGGGCGTTCATAAAATACACTGACGCAAGTATATTCTAATCAATTGGATAATTGAATATGCTTTATTTTACATATTACATAACATCACTACACAAAATTTGGACAGTTGCAGTAACACACTACGGTGATCGCATTAAAAACCACTTTGAACAGTATTTCAGTTATACACGGTGTATCAGACTGATGTGGGATAAAAAAGTGGCTCAGGCCATCCAACGGGTGTTCGCGAAAAGGTGAGCGTATTCTGCCAGACAGGTGGCATCCATCACAAACACATGCAAGGACAAGTCAATTGTTCACCTGAACAAAGCACGGAAACACACAATGATGCCCGTCCGCACTATTACCGAGCATGTAAATTATATTGTCCGTCAAAAACATGGACGAGTATAAACGGGTAGTTATGGAATACTGTAAGGGACATTCTCGCGATCTCGCATTCTCGCGATCTCGACCTTTGGAAACGAGCTAAATATGCCAAAAACACGAGAATGCGTGTTTTTGATACATAGCACTTTTTGTCAAAAATCGACAACGCGAGAATGCGACATTTGGACATGATGAAAAATCTCGCTATCTCGCAATCTCGACTTGTCAAATGAGGCCACAAAAACAAAAATCGCGAGAACGCGAGAATGCGACATTTTATTTTCTCGTGTTCTCGTTTTTTAGACGCTGTCCGTGCGCATGCGTGATATCATAAGGTCAAGGCGCATGCGCACATTAGTAGTGCTGCACAGTGGTCATGCTTCTTTTATGCTCTTCATTCTCCAAGTAGCATTTAGAAAATGTATGACTTGAGCTTGAAAATGCTATCATGTAATTTACATACACAAAGACCCAGCTGTTTTCTATGTACTTTAAATTAAAACCCTCAACATGCTAAACATAATTTAACAAAAGAAATTGTGTACATGAATGTTCATGGATAGTGAAAACATTAAAGTGTGAGGAAGCTGGAAACAATATATATCACTGTTAGTGAGAGAGTAAATATTGCTTAAAGCCACATCAGCAGTATTGCTGTATCAGTTACAGAAATAATCACATTATTATTCATTAAAACAAAATTGAGATTGTCCGATGTTTTTACACGACACCATAGTCGCTACTTTAGGCCATACAAAACTACAAAACATTCCGCCTTACATTATTCTATTGCCTCAAACTTCCTAGAAATAGAAATATCGCTAATATGTGTGTTCCTACTCCGTGCATGGCTCTGAATAAGTGAGTGAGTTTGGCTCAACACCGCTTTGAACAGTATTTATATTTCAGTTATTCCCTGGCTTGTCAGCTTCAAATGGGACGAAACCCACCATCATAGGTTTCTGGCACGCCCAAGGGACGCAACTTTACGTACACAGCGAATTGCGACGCCTCAGAGGACTGAGCCACTAGGTCACTTTCAAGGTAATTGGCAGAAAAACGCGAGAACGCGAGAACGCGACATTGGTCAAGTTTCGCAATCTCGCGTTCTCGCGTATAACTGTATAAGCAATTGACACAAAAGCACAAGATCGCGAGATAGCGACATTGGTCAAGTGTCGCAAACTCGCGTTCTCGCGTTTTTTGAAAATAGTTACATATAACTGCATAGCCAATTGGCACAAAAGCACGAGAACGCGAGATCGCGACATTGGTCAAGGGTTGCAATCTCGCGTTCTCGCGTTTTTGAAAAGAGTTGCATATGACTGAAAAGGCAATTGACACAAAAGCGTGAGAACGCGAGATCGCGAGACAGCAACATTGGTCAGGTGTCGCGATCTCGCATTCTCGCGTTTATTACGGTTTGAGTCGAAACATGTAGCGCTTGCCAATCAGAATTCGCATAAACACACAATGACATGTTATAATAAACATTCTTCATTTGCACTGGTAGTTACACTGATTAATTAATTGAATTGAATGTCTCTGAATAGTTTTTGTGTACTCCAACCCTGCATTGAAGTCTGCAGCAAAGTCGGTGAAGAACACGTTCCCTTCAAACAAACATAGGCATATTTTGATAAATGAAACATCTTCGTGTGCATAAATGGAATCCCAAATGTCTACTTCGTTTGCAGAATTCGTTCAAGATAATAATACTCTCTGTCAATGCGTTCATACATTTCATACATGATGTATTGACATGGTCCCAGCTGGCAAACCAGAGTTCTAAGAGCTTACAGTTTCGGCATAACTTCATCTATTCATCTGAGACAACAGCTTCCATTTGCAAACAACTGGGTCATCACTGATCCATGAATATATTCCTACCGCTATTGTCAACGTTAATTTGTTTCGTTGGCAAATCGAAATTGGTTATTCACCAGCATTCTCAAGCATTGATGTTTCATATTTCTATACAGGAGTATTGGTTGATAACAACAAGTTGATATACTGTATACTGCATGTGATACTGATTTGCGGAAATGCTACAACTTTCAAGATTCAAGAATCAATTTGCATTTATTTCTGAGAGCGGCGTTAAAACAATTTGTTTTCATAATGGAGCGCTGCAGTAATTCAAACTGGAACCGTAGACATGCGTAGTACCAACTCAATCACTCTGTTTCGAATATTCAGCAGCAAAACTATATATTAACCAGCTGTGAGGAGAGATATAAGATTTTTATAAGCAGTCAAATAGGGATGATAAAGGACCCCTCACTGATTAGGTTCTTGTTTACTTAAGAGCAGAGTTGCCCATGTTAGATGATATAACCAAAATCCAGGAGCTCCGGCGGGGGACAAACTGGTCTTGTTATTGTGTGGTATGAGCTGTGACGTAGACCTAAGAGAATAAAGTAAAAATGAGACCAACGCAAATCTACAATGATTGGAAAAGTCTAGAGTTCCACAGCTCTAGCCTGAAATTAAGAATTGTTCTGTCCTCCTTTTGATTTTATTTTTATTTTGTAGATATGGATAGACCAACCAGGAAAGAAATTGATGGAATATTAATATCACATGTCACCAATGATCCAGTTAAATTCATCACACAATAACATATTAGTATTTGATATTACGAAGGGCATGGTCAGGTACATGTTCACTGTAGTAATGTACATACTAGTTAACTTGATTATATTGTTTATTATAGTGTAGCGCGGCATCAACGATTACTATATGATATCCTCACTTGTCATCGATGTATTGACATCGAACAATGGACGATAATTCGAAATTCTTTTTTGAGCTATAAATAGCTTCAACAAGGACAGTACCGGTGTCAGTAGAATTTTCGTAGTTAAAAATATGTATCTGCAAAATATAATCTAAAGGAGCCAAGAACAATACTGTTTTATTAATGCTTACTTCCATGGATAGAATTGAGGCAATCTGGGCTTGCCAAATCGTTCTAGACTTGAGCTGGATTCCTTTTAAATTTATTCTCTATGGTTTGGGAGACATACAAGGATGTCAGTATCGCATGGAGAACTGACGTTTGGGTCCAGCCTGGGTCAGTGTAATCGGATATATTGTGGAGTTTCGGGTTTGGGCTGTTTGCTGAATAGAACAATGGCTCACAAACACGGGCACAATGTAGAGATTAAAGCATCACCACCTATGTTTATATCAGATATATTATTGTGATTTGAAATCTCGTTTTGAACAATTGCGAGTTATTGTATACTCTGTATTCTTTCGTCATGGTAGCATATATATTTTCTATGTTGCTTTTTGAATTATCCACAAATAATGAGAACTACAATGTAAACGTCTATCTGGAGATATACAATAATACAACTGAAGGGCATATCTGAAAAATGGGACTAATCGACTAATATTTCTTTCTTAAACACTGTCTGTTACAGGAATTCTAATCATTATATTATGCTTTGTATAGTTTTAAAATTTAGAAATATTGCATTTCAAATCATGGCAAATTGTGTATCTTTCTACATTTTGAATTCATTATAATTTCTGCAATAAAACCTTAACATCAGATAGTGATATATACGAATATGATCTATACTGTGGTAAATGAATTATTAATTTCGTATTATGAGTTAAATAAATTGAAATATGATAGTACAAACAAATTATTATAATCTGTTCGTGTGAGTAGGAAACAAAAGATCGAGGCAACTCTACTGACGTAACCAGTTGTGAAAAATCAAATATTAAAAGTTTAGGGGTTTGAACATGTGCATTGAATGACAGACAAGAAAGCAGCACAATGATTAAATTATGAATCAAATTATTTTATAAATAAAACTAACTATATAGAAATTAAAAGTTGAATTTCTCATTGTTGGAAGGTGTTTAATAATAGTTTTTGTTTCATTGTTTGTTGTTAAACACCGCACTCAACAATATACCTGCTATATGACGGCGGTTTGTAAATAATCCAGTCTGGACCAGACAATCCAGTTATTGACATCAAGAGCACCGATCTACGCAATTGGGATACGATGACATCATCCACCAAGTCAGCGAGTCTGACCACCCGATTACGTTAGTCGCATTCGTACAAGCATGGGTTGTTGAAGGCCTGTTCTAACCCGGATCTTCACGGGTATTTTTTTTTAATAATAAGGTACAATGAAATTATGTATTTGTCCATAATAAGTGTGTATAAGTAAATGGATAATATATCCATACACGCCAATTAAATGGGTTAGACTGCATATGGTTCATTGATGAAGTCGCAGACATGTATTTGATATTCATAATAACTCCACAAAAGCTACACAATGGCGACAAAACGGTACCAGCATCACAGATACCTACAATACATTTTTGAACATGAGATACATATAATTACTTTAAAGTTAAATCATCTATCTAAATAGTAAATTAGAAGGATTTAAATTATACACTTCCGACATTTTTCGTATTTTTTTCGTTTGGAGAGAGAAGTAGTGACAGTAGTGACTGGTATCTGATGGGTGCAAACAGGTGTCGAGTCGTGTCTCAGATGGCTCTAATTTCGTAGCTCTAAAGATCACGACGGCAATACAGATCGTAAAGTAGTTTGTCTCACAGTCCCTGAACCATATTATTTTCCCTTCCGCCCAGGCCTTACTGCAATGCTAGAGCCCCAAATGAAACAAGCCTAGATGTTCAACAGGTTCAGGCTGAAATTTCCATCTCACTTGGGCTCCTTTTAAATTTAAATATAGTTGGTCGTTTTAACCAAAATAACATATTTTCAGAGACTAAGCGTTAGTCTAACCGTGAAGTACAACTATCCAAAAGATCCAAAGCATTTCTATATTTCTTCAGACAGACTCTCCATGTTCCTATCGATATGTATCAAAAGACAAATAAATTAAATATTACAGCACTGGTGAATAGGTTAAATGCGCATGTAAGCGTCGATCCTACAATATCCTTTTGCGCAAAATACATATATACTGATGAATTAACGTTGTAATACTACACAAATGTATGTCCATATGTATACATCAGTTTCATCTCGTGATCTATATTCGTGTGTTTAGCTCTTTTTCTACAGGAGATTATGGGGTGTTACATCACACCAGAAAGCCAGGTCCAAATTCAAGCTATAATTTCATGGTCCGTCTTGTATGTTGGAAACCAATATCGCAATATGGCTGAATATTTAAACGTGGTATTTACCCGATTACTCACATAATTATTCCATTTTCTTCATGCACTTTCTACAATCATCTACGATCACTATCTATAAGGAGGTATATCTATATTCATCCAAATGTCCATACATATATGTCCACATACATATGTATTAAGCAAGTCCCACATTTTTCCTTAAAAGATAAATGCTAAGCATTTCCTCTGTATGTATCTATATATGTAAATATCGTTTTTATGTCAACGCTGATGCAGTGAACGTACCACAGACCTGATGCTAGAATAACATCTAATCTCTGAAATGAACATATTTTACAGAAAAAAACCAGTTGTTAAACAATAGTTAAAAATATAATAAAAAGGAGCCAAGAGACTTTCTTCATTTTGTCAATTTTTGGGCTGTATTGGACATATTTCTTTCGGGGTCTGTATGACAGACAAACCTGATGCTTTTAAGTATAAAGATAAGTAAGTATAGCTGTTGTATATATTCAAATATGTTTGTGAGTAAACCGACCTTGAAAAATATTGAAGGATGATTGGTAACTATTTATGTCATCATTTCAAATTAGAATGATAGCACATCAGGAAAGCATAGCACTTTAATATACGTTGTTAGCCCAATAGTGTTTTAAGTAAGAACAACATGTATATCGAGAGTAAAGGTTTGGTGCGTGACTTATCACACATTACTGTCAGAAAGTGTGCATATTCTGTTTATCGGCAATAAATGACATACGGCGATTCATGCGCCGAAAATACGATTTACTTCAGAACTAGTATAGATTACTTTAGGTAAGGGGAAAATGTATGTTATTAACAGAACTTTGGATTTCGGCAAGCTTAGTGCTCAGGGGGGTTATTTGGGC